TTAAAATTAAATATGAACACAGTTTGGATTAAATAAAAGTACAGTCAAATTTTATCTCCTGTATAGACTTTGCTGTACAATGTTTGATCTAGTAACATCTTACAGTGAGTGAACAATATGTATTGGTACCAAATACTGAAATTTTGGTACCGTGACAACACTAAACCCCTATAGTAATAAGTTTTCACATTTTTTTATTGAATTACAGACATGTTTCTATATAATTTCCAGCAGCTAATCCCTGAACCTTTGGGATCAGCACTAATATAGCTTAGATTTCTGCTCTTTCAGTAAGAAGTCTGGTTGCATTTTCTCTTCAAGTTTTCCAGTAGGCTATATAAAGTAGCAGAACCCAACACTGAATCTAGTTAGTTAGTGAGTTATCAGACAAGGGCAATTGTCTCTGGTCCTCCTTGTCTAATTGGCAAGATGAGGTTGGAGCTGCTAGTGTGAGGGAGCGCAGGAGGGCTGTCAGCCTGGAGCAATGGAGTGAAAACAAAAGAAATTGGGGCTGTTTATTATACCTTCTAGCTGTCTGTAATATGATTTTCTCTTTAGTGCCTTGCTTACTCATTACCAGAAAACCCAGGTGTTTATCTAGCTCTGTGTTTTATATTAAATTGTATGCAATTCATCGCAATAGAGATGATGTAATCATGAAGGATTTGTCTAATTATGTATAAAAAGTAAGCCTCCCTAGTTAGGGTGCTCAACATTTAATATGCAGCACCCTTCTCAAAAATGGACCTGTACTATTTTTGACATCTCTAGAATCCCTTGCAGTGTCATAATGAGTGCCAACATAAACAGTATGCTGGTGATGGGACATCCTATCAGGATTGTTTGAGGGCCAGAGGCTTCTCCTTTGAGGATGATAAATTGAAGCGTGGCAGCTGCGGTCGAGCCCAGAGCTACTGAATCTCCTGAGTGGTGGGGTGGTGGGAAGCTGATATGTCACCCCTCCAGTCCTCCCTGCTCCTGTGGGAATGAGGAGGAGGGTGCGACCGGGCTTCAGGGAGGGAATTAGTGCCCACCGCAGAAGCTCTGCTGGAAACACACCTCTCTGTTCCACCGATGGGACTGCATATTAATTTCTGCAGTATGTGGTTGGTTTCAAGTGATGGATCATCCAAACATATGGGGAGGCTGTGCATGAGTATATTTCACTTCAAGGTCCTTTTCAACTTTTTCCATTAATACAAACAACATCTCAGCCAAAATGCATCTCCCTTTCCCCCTGTTCATGGTTTATCAAGAGAGAGAGGGAGGAAAAAAGTATTATTTGTTTAAGCCTGCAGTCAGAGCCAGTGCACACATATGCATACATTTGTCTCATTTCACCTCAGAATTCAGATGGTCGGAACTGTTGTACAAATTAAATAATATTATTTTATATTGCTAAGCACAAACATGTTTTGTCTCAGGGCATCTCGAATTAACCTCGTCTGGATAGGAATAACATTCTGCTATGTGAATCGTGTACATACATACTGAGAGGAAAATCTAACAACACACTGACCACAAGATCATGTACTTGCAAGAATGATTCTACAAGATCTAATAAAACCGCACACCTCAAAGCAATTTAACGGTAAACAGTGAACCACTATTTCTACTGTAACCAAAATGCATACATGAGAAGGAATGTTAAACATCTTGTCATTCTCGGAAGTCCTTGTTTCTGTGTTCCTTAAGTTCTGTTATTTTAGCTTCTCTTCCTGACCTCTGTCAAATATAAGATAACTTGCATCACATTCAAACTAAAAACTACAACTCAGACTGTTTCTGAGTAGTTATTGGAGTAATGACTCAATGACTTCATGTCACAAAGACTTGTTTAGTTTCTGAGTGAAATGGCTATGTAGCCTAACAGTTTGAGCGAATGAGTCAAATATAGTTAAGATGTAACTTGGTGTAACATTCAATTTGTTGATTCTACTGGCACAAAAATAACACATTTCACTGGTAATGTCACAATTGTTTTATATTTTGAGGAAACCATTTACTATGTACTACACGACGTCTGTTAAAGGTCAGGTCATCGGGAAAACATTGCATTCAAATTATTGTATATAACCATCTAATAAACATCTTGAAAGTGGTGATTCACATACATTCTTATCCACAAACATCAAGAAAACAACTGTTTACTGCAGATGAGTAAATGGTTTAAAAATGACGCAGATGAACATGCACACATGGATTAGTTCACAATGGTGCTTTGTATCCAAGCAACTTAATCGCAAATTACTCACAGATGCTAAGATTCACAGGTATAATTTGTTGATAATTTGTTGAATAAAGTGAATGTGCTTAAAATGAGGATGGCATATTTTGCCACCAGAAAAGTGAACGGTGACATTTCCAGAGTGCTTATTTTGTTTTATTGTTATGACTTTGGTTTAGAAATGCAGTTAGAAAATGAAGAATGTTGCCCAGAAGGTGCCATCTCATGCTGTAATACTGTTGGTGGAAGCTGATAATAAGGAGAATACTAAATTATTTTGTTATTTAGATATATTAGAGACCTGGAGCTTGTCCAGTGACCTTAATTTTTTGTTAATAAATGTTTTGTCATAATGTATAATCAACGACCAAACAATAACACCTCACAAGTCAATTCAATCACGTTCTCTCTATTTTATTTGATTAAACCGCAATTAAACAGATGTAGCCAGTAGTGACCACTGTGAGCACGCATTAGCAAACTGGGTTTGTTTGATTTCCTTTTCATTGTTTTAGTGCAGTGAATGTCAAAGCAAGTTGTAACTCAAAGACAGTCAGTTATGAGAGAGCTGACAGAGAGAGACACATGCAGAGATTCGATCCAAGCACCCAGCATGTCACAAGGAGTTAGAAGAGCCATCCCTCTGAAGATCATGTCACCAAAGATTAATTGGATCTCTGCTCCTCTGAGTATTAGTGATTGGTTTTCAGAAAATACAGGTTTTTATCGTACTGGCTCAGGCAGTGCTTCAGACGTTTCTAAGACTGAGGCTTTACAATTATTCTTAACTCTGACTTATCTCAGAGTGGCCCAACAAAAAGGTTTGTCTTTCCTTCCAGCACGTTCTCTCCATATTAGTCACATATATACAACAGTTCAATAAACAAGAATATAGTCATTTTAATACTTAGTAAGTTCCTATATCACATTTAGTCACTGTCACTAGAAATTTCCTTTTTTATAGTTTGCATTAAGCTGTGAAGAAAAAATACAATTGAATTATTATTATCTAAAACAAAAATGGTTACATTTACCAGTATTCCTATAGGTTTGTCTTTTGTTAATAATAGTGGATTAATGTTGTATTATTCCATATACATTATTACATTATACAAATTTGTTCTATTATATGAAAGTCCTGCAGTTCATGATATGCATATCATGTTTTTTTTTTCTTTTTCTGTTGAAATCTCACATGGACATATACAGTATCTTCCTTAAACATGACAAAATAAATGAATGACTTTTTTGTTTTTCATATAAAAATGTGCGTTCCCATTTGTACCATACCAGTGATTTGCAGGTAAAAGAATGGAGTAGCAAAACAAACCCAAAGCTAATTATCTATGAGAGAATATTTAAAAAAAAAAAGGTTTTCTTTCTACAAAGCTATCATGGTTGTTTACAAAACAAACCAATCTCCAGAGTTTGTGGCTGTGGTAACCATTACATTTTTTCCTCAAAAAAAAAAAAAAGAAACGTCCTTTTATTAAATTAAGAAAATTCTTCCTTTAATGTTTTCAACTCAGTTATGTATCAGAAGTGTTGTCAAGAAATAAGTTTTTTGCACCTTCTGACCACTGCATAGGATTTTTTTTCAGGATACTTTTTTCAGAAGCTTCACTGCATTTTAAATACTTTAAATTAGGGCTGGGCGATTTGGCAAAAAATTTAAATCTCGATTTTTCCAGAATGTTTGACTGATTCTCGATTTTTAAAAAAATGATTTTTAACTTGTCAACTTGAAAATTTAACTACAACATGATTCAAGTAACTTTTTCTTTACTAACCCTCTAGTTAAAGAAAATTATATTCCAAGTGCAGCACACAAGTTGTCAACATGATGTAAATGTTAAACAAATTACTTGTTAAATATCTTTGCAGAACAGATGCACAAACTACAACTACATATTGTACAAACTTGTCTTATATTATGTGTTCAGAAATATACGAGGAAAATGCTTTTAAAAAATTTCAAAAGTCAAGGTAATTCAAATTCAAAATGGCTGAAGGTATAACACCAGTAGACTATTATTAACTATAAATGTTGGTTATACTTTATTTCGATAGTCCACTTTAGACATTCTATTAACTATAAGTAACTTTGTAATTACATGTCAACTACATGTCAACTAATTATCATTAATTTGCAACTACATGTCTACTAACTCTCAGAGTAGACTGTTAGGGTAGGTTTAGGGTTAGTAGAATAAGTTGACAAAGAAAGTGTTAGAAGATATTAAGCAGACAGTCTACTAATACTCTACTAACTGCTAGTTGACATGTAGTTGCAAAGTTACTTACTGTTAATAGAATGTCTAAAGTGGACTATCGAAATAAAGTGTTACCTAAATGTTCTGTAAAAACAACAGCAGCTTTCAGCCTGTCACCATGATGCAAACATGAAATAGCAGACATACAGTAGTTCTTTACAGGTTTTTTATTCGATTACGCTGCTTTTCCATTGTTTTTTCTGTGTAAACATGGATGTGTTTGACTGTTGCGCTCGCGTCTCTTGCAGTGTCTCACGCATGAAACACCATTCTAAAAACTGCGCTCAAGATAAAAGAAGTTCACTCCCATCTTCTTGCATGTTTTATCTATTCCACTGCCCCTTTGTCAACACAAAAGCGCATTCTGTGTGAATGGCGCTTAGCGCTATATTTATGGTACTTCACAGAGCGCATCACACGTGAGCGGTTAATCCAACCGCATGACCGTTCTTTTCTCTTTACTGTTATCACCGGCATATTGTCAAAGTCTCTAATTCTAACATTTGGTAATATTTCTATTAAAAATCGCGATTCCTCGATTTCTAAAAAATAAAATCGTGGCAAAACATTAAATTAATCAATAAAATAGGGAAAACCGCCCAGCCCTACTTTAAATTATTAGTTACTTGTACTGTAGGTTGGTAATCTACTCTGAAGCTGTAGCTTTCCAAGCTTCAGTACAAAAACACTGCAGATGAAATACATGGATGTATTGCAGATTATACATTTCATTGCAGATTATACATGTTACTGTCAAATGCTACAGTGACTTAAGCATGTTTTGTGACATTTATAATTAGAATGCATGCACATCCAACTTTAACATGCGCATCAGATGTTTGTACACAAGCATCACACATAAAATGAGATTTTTTACATATTTTTTATTTTATTTTTTTTATTTACCTTTATTTAACCAGGAAATTAAAAACTCTTGAGATTTAAAATCTCATTTACAAGAGGGTCCTGGCCAAGATAGGCAGCACATTTAGTTACACATAAAACAAAATACATTCGTTTACATACACAGAAACATACACAAATCACTCAAAACATTTACAATCAGGTGACTCTACAATTAGATCCTTTAAAATACATTTAAAATCATTTAGTGATACCAACTCCTTTAAGCATAATTTATCTTGTAGTCGATTGCAATCAAATGGAGCAGCATAACTAAATGCCCGTTTGCCCATATTAGTACGAACTTTAGGGATGCTTAAAAGATAATAATCTTGTGAGCGAAGACCATAATTATTTACACCTTTTTGTAAGATATTCTGCTGTAAATACGAAGTAAGTAAACATAAAATGATTTTATATATAAATAAGTACCAATGCTTAAGTCTACGGGATTACAACGCCGGCCATCCAACCCGAGAGTACAATAAACAATGATGAGTAAGGGCTTTTGAATTTGTGATGAACCTTAATGCTCCATGATAAACTGAATCCAACGCCTGTAAACAATGCTTAGGTGCCTGCATGTATATGATATCACAATAATCCAACACTGACAAAAATGTAGCTGCTACCAATCTCTTCCTTGCTGCAAAAGAAAGACAATAATTGACTCTAAAAAAAAGGCCCAGTTTCGACTTTAATTTTCTCACAAGGTACTGAATATGAGGCCCAAAAGAAAGAGAATCATCAATTAAAAATCCCAAGTATTTATACTTAGATACTACTTCAATCTCCAAACCTTGAAGAGTAGTGATTGAGCATGAGTTTGAAAGTGCAGACTTTCTTTTTGTAAACATCATAAGTTTAGATTTCTCCGCATTTAAAACAAGTTTTAAATCACTCA